ACCGCCCCAATTCAATTCCGAATTTCTAACAAAAATTGCTTTATATTTATACAATTAGAACACTTTATTCCAGTAATGCATTTGAGACTTATGAAACCTAATAGGGCTTTAAAGGTAGATCTTGTCCGACATTTTAGACTAAAATAAAGAGTTGATTACTTGTTTTCAAGTATCTATTAGCAACATATGAGGCAAGTCGCACATTCGGTTAATTATTACCTATAGCAAGTATTTTTCGAGAGCGTTATTAGATCTTTGATAATAGTTTAAGATCTACTTATAGCCTCTAAATCTACCTACCATTAATATTTGTGACATGTCGTTTTTAATTACAAAACACAAGCTTCCATCATCAACAATCTCACTATAAATGTGGTATGGGAGAAGCCTAGTTTGTCCTGAACTTCACCTCTGCACCGTGACCCAATGGTATTCGTGGCAATGTGGCGTATTGGTAAAATGTCGAAATTATGCCCTGCACTAGCCGTTGCATGTGCTCGTGAGATCCAAGGAAGGTCGAAACTTTAATGCACCCTGGGTCAGAATATTTTTGCGAGGCAAGAATAGGTTTAATTCATTTACCTATTGAGGCCACTGCTGCAAATATGGGCGGAATGAAAACTCAAATAAATACATAAGCCTAGAAAGTCCGGACTAGAAGAACCGATGCCAAATCAAGTCATTAAGGTTACCCCTACCATTTTAAACACTAAGGAATGGTGTGAGGCTGGGAATCTAAAAAAAGGGCCAAATAATTACTTGTTACTTTGCTCCTGGCTCAGACCTTTTGACCAAAGTATCGATGATTTTATCCACTCGAGTAGTCTACATTTATTCATAATTGGAGCGCGAAGGAGCTCAAGTTGGCATCTGTAATCATTCTTGAAATGAACCTCTCTCATAGTTTACTTATTACCAATAATAAATTTATTCAAATACTTGTGGTAAAAAATATAATTCTGACAAATTATACTATTGAAGCTTTAGTAGCTCTTGGTGAAACTATTAATGTTTTACACCACTAATTTTTCAATATTTTTCTCTCTTTTTCCTTCATTTCTTTCAGATGAACAGTGAAATCTCTAACCAATCACTTGATAGCTACTCTTCGATTGAGACTATTTCAGGCGTCAATCTCGACATCCTCTTTAACGCACAGGTTTTCACTCGTACAGGTATCCATAAAGGAAACATCGTCGCACTTAAGCCACTGCATCGACAAAGCATTACGCCCACAAAAAGAATCATGATTGAGGTGAAAAAGGTTAGAGCAACTAGTTGATTCGCTTATCTCGGATTTAAATTTATACCTTTTTATAATTTACCAAACTATATTAACTCAGCAGTCTGGCCAAAAAGGAAACCATTATTTTTAATTTCAATCTCTTATGGTTTATTTGTAGATGAGATATCACTCTTAATTAAAAATTATCTCATCTCTACTCAGAGTGTTTGGGTTTATTCTCCTAATTTCCGCTTTGGCATGCTATCAAATAAATCCCTCGCAGTATCCATTCTTCTTATTCCGGATGAGGCAACAGTTTGAGAGACGTGTTAATTTAGCGTAAATGAATGAAAATGAGTCTATAATTAAGCTTCTTTTTATGAACTATGTCTTTATAGATAAAGATTTCTTGCTTCGCTTACTTCTATTCAGACCTTTCATTTTTAATGCTCATTTTCATGGTGTCAAATTTTTTTTATTTTGGTAACTGTTGGCTTTAAATAAATCCAACTTCTTTCTGATTGTATGCAATTCGGC